CCCCGGGAAATGGGTATATCACTAAAAATTTAAGCGTATACCATCTTAAAACGAACCCTCGTCTCTCTACCAGGCATCGTGGCGCAGGGGGGTTTAAGGAGCGAGCGTCATGGTTCAACACCATCTGTTGCATTTCCAAGCCGCGTTTTGCGCCGAGCTGTTACGAAACACGTTTTTAGAACACTCTTATTTTAGATCACATTTGTCTCAAATTTTGACAACAGTGAATGCACTCAAATAGTGAATAGCACTGAATATTCACTAAATATTGAAGGAAGATTAATTCCCTCGTGAACCGTGAATACTCGAAGTTGGTGCCCCGCCCCCTCGTGTCCAGGCTAAGACCAGTACGTTGAGTTGCCTATGAGCTGACCGCAGGGGCGGCAGGCGCGGGGCGGGTGGTGGAGAACTGGTAGCTCCCCCGCTCCACTACCACTCCCCCACCAGCCGCCCGCGCCTGCAGCCCCTGCAGCCCCTGCAGTAAGTGCATGGGCAACCCACGTTATATGGAATTTCATAGCCTGGACACCCTTCAGTTGCCAGAGTTTCGGACACCATTTTCGTCCATCATCAGCAGTCAGCAGAGCCGAGGATCAATGCGTTGCCGCACCACCCTTTTGACTGCTGGCTGGGTGACAAATCAAACTCTATTCTAGGTTAGTTCCGTTAGTTTTGGTTATAAACCATATGCTGAGAATGCGAATTTGTCCGATATCCTTTAAGAAGAAACATCGTGATGCCGTGCAAACAAAGACATAAGGCGCACATCACGATATGCCTGCCTTGGCGGTGGGTCGGGTGCGCAACCGAGTACAAAAGGAGACCTGAAGTGGCACCTACAACTGTCGAAGCTCAACCAGCACCATGGCAAACAAATACACTCTGACACTCATCTGCGTGGTCGTGTTGGCGTTGGTACGGAGTGTTCAACTGTTTTACTTTCCCTGTCATTTTTTTTAAAGCGCATCGAATAGTTAATACGTCTTGCGTCATCTGGCTGCCAACATAAATAAGAATGTTTTTTTTCACAGGCGTCCTTTGCCGCCGCTGATCCTAGGCCGTTCAATCTTGTCAAGACCGCAAAGAACCTCTTCAACAAGGCCAAGGACTTCGTTACCCCGACCTTAACGTGCCTTAAAAACGCTGGAGCCTCCGATGCTGCCCTGGGCTACCTGAAAGAATGCGGCCAAACAAGATACTATGGCAAGACAGCCATGTTCAGCTGCGCAGGCACCACCTACGCACCTACTGATGTCAAGCAAATGCTTAAGAGCAGTGCCAAGTGCTTCACGAAGTAAATAGTTTGTCCTCTAAGCAGAAAATGCCTTATGATGATAACGACACATCTTATCGCTCATTATAACCTGGGAGTTGGAGTGCTTCACAAAATAAATAGCTTATCCTCTAACCAACCTGGAAATGTAATGTGAATACTCTATCTCCAAACAACAACAAAATCCTGAAACCGAGTCCCATGTTTCTTTGGGTCATGTTCGAGTATCGCCGGTACCGAGGTGCAAGCAGAGCGTGACGCTACGCAGCAATGCGCAGAGACGTCAATGTTGCCGTCACGTAAACGGCCCGCGCCAACTGAATGGGGGGCGCCGGCGGGAGGAGAGGGCGCCGGCGGCGCCGCCGCTTCGTAAACGCTCGCCTCGTCGGAATATATGGGCTCTAGGCCGAATGCAGGCGGCCATAGCCCCCAGCCTGGAGTAGCGGGATCGGCCTGAAAGGCGCCTAGAAAGCGTGAGGTTACCCCGTACACTCTGGATATATTGTGCAGTTTTTACTTCAGAGGTCAGGAACAAAATGCGCTTTGCATTTTGACAGTCGAAACTGCTTAAAGGGAATTGCGATTCGCCATTTTCCATGTACAAGGTTTGTCTTTTGTTTTGTTTTTCAGCCTGGGGTTATGCATTGAAAAAAGCTACCGTCGGTCTTTATCCCGCAATTGTAGGCCTTTAGTAATTGCGACTGATCGTCACAACCTGTGAGGCTCCTTGGAAGTCTGGCGAATGATGCTGGCTGTGTTGCAGACTCGAGGGGGATGTGGTGGTCAGTAGGGTAGCAGGGCATGACAGTCCGTTTGACGTGGGTACTTGCCACACCACTTGTGACTTTCCCCAACCCTCATCACCTTTTCCGACACCAACCTGCGCCAGACCCTTGTCAGCCACGCAAGGGAGTCCTGCCGATGACTCAGCGTAATGCCCAACGCGTGAGCACAGTTCACTCTTAATGTGTCCTCTCCCTCCGCCTTGGTCGGCCTCGAACGAGTACCGACGGCCTCCCTGCTCCAACAACCTCCGCACTCCCGACTAAGCTGCAGCCCAAAGTTCATAGTTATGGAAAACTTTTTCTCCGGCTGTTGCTGCAGCGCGGGTAGGGGTGGGGACCACCTCGCCTTATCCAGTTGAAGCACCACGGGGCCTCCCCATTAAAAATAGGGGGGCTTAGAAAGTTGGCGAGACTGTGTTTGTGGGCGAGCCTGCTTACCCCTCAGTTACCCGCTTTGCCTCAGTCACCTCCGCAAGTGCGTGCCCTTATTGAAAGCAGTTGTAAGTTTAAAGTTGGCAAGAAAATCTGCATTAAAGATTTTGAAAAACTAGGAATGCAATAACTTGAAGAAAAGAAAAGGATGGCCGCTTTAAAGTGTTGCGTCCACAAACTAGAATGTTGCAAGGAAGAAATAAATACTCTGACAGTTAAACTTTTCGTGCAGCACCAGTTGAACAAAAAATGTCATTATTTCAGCAGCGGGCATATCACTTGAATAGCCGGAGATTCCAAAATAGAACAACAGTCGGACTTTTTTAGGCATCAACGGGAGGATAATGCAAAGTACAAGCATAGTAAGTCTTTTTATTGAACCAACTGACAAACGTCCGAAACGTCACTTAGACAAGCAATCTCATCGCGAGGTGCCCCCAACACCCAAGCAGGGTATTACCGCACCGCTTCACCCTCACACAGCCCCATCAGCATTCCGATTGGGCCAGCAAAAGTTTCACAAACGAAATTAAAAGCGGAATCAGTGCGCGACCTCCCACCCCTCGCGTTCTCTCTCACTTTTTTTTTTTCCCACAGCCGCACACCACAATCCCTCTCTACTTTCTCTCTCTCCTAGTAGTAGTAGGGGCACAGCACGGGTTTGGATGATCGCTCCCAACCAACAAAGAGGATATTTGTGTCCGGTCAAAAAAGAGGAGCCAAGAAATTAGGGTCGCAAATTCTCGCTTGCCGATCTACCCCTTGTCACTCGGCCAGAGCGCCACACCCTCGACCTCTACACTCTGAAGTTTATAGAGGAAACTTTGAATGGTAGCTACGAAGGTTTTCTGCTGTTAAAACTTATCAAGAAATTCTTTAGTATTTCTAAACCTTTCCCTAGTTATGACCTAACGTTTAGTAATACTAAAATAAAAGATTAGTAATTCGAGTTTTTGAAAGATAATAAGAGTTCTGCCAGCAATAGTAATACTGAACAATTCCGCAATACTATAGCATTAACCTTAAGTATATTTAGGAGGCAATTTTTCTAGTATCAAGTTTAAAGCGCACTACTTCCTCGACCCTTATTAAGAGCGCTACAGCATGACAACCTGTGGTCGAGCTGGTGCGTACTTCTCCCTCCTGGCCCATCCTCGCCTCCCCGATGTCCATCAAGGCCGAGCTGAGCGGGTCCAGACGGAAATGTGTGGGACTTCCGAGAGACTGGCAGCGGTGGCCGTGGTGGTGGGAGTCGGGATGGTAATGAATGAAAGAGGGAGGAGATGAAGAATGTGATGCCGAGAGAGAGAGAGAGAGAGAGAGAGAGAGAGAGAGAGAGAGAGAGAGAGAGAGAGAGAGAGACGGCACGACAGGCAGACGCACAGTTCCAATCCAATTAAAAAGTCTTAAGTTGATGAACACGGACTCTGGGGCCCAAGGAGAGGCACAGCCTCCTGGCGGAGCGGCGCGGAGCGGTCGGCCCGCTTGCCAAGCCTTGCCTGATGTTTTGCGGTTTCACTGCCTCCTCGGTGAGAATTGGAAGGGGTGGGGAGCGAGAATACATTAAGTAGGACAAGTGGTTCTAGAGAAGAAAAAGGGGGGAGGGGGGGGAAGGTACCACATCAGGATGGGACCAAAATATAAGTGGATTAAAAAAATTTAGGGTGAAGAACTAGGGGAGGGAATATAAATGGCGGAGTAAGGGGTGCAACATAACTATGACAATACAAGTGTGTACCGGGTGATTCAGAGCACGCGCCGCCGTGTTGCGGGTTTGCCTATCCTCGACTCGGCGGGCGCACGGGTGAGAGGTGAGGAGGGGGCCCCTCACCTCCTCACCTCTCACCAGTGCGCCCGCCGAGTCAAGGATAGGCAAACCCGCAACACGGCGGCGCGTGCTCTGAATCACCCGGTACTTGCTGTGCAGTACCATCTGAATAGCCTTAGTTAGTTACTGCAAAGCTCCAAGTATAAACTAACTCCTGCATGCATAGAAGGAATTCAAGAGATACTGCATAAAAGTACTCACTTTGGTTCTCATGAAATTCAGAACCAATTTAATCTTATCTTTTAAAAATGGGGGAGGGGAGCGGAGGGGGCGGGTGGGGAGCACAAGCTTGCTGTTGGTCATCGCATTATCGCAGTTTCCCCCGTGCGTCATTCACACAAAAATAATGAAAGTACTGAATTTACTATGAGTGCATGGTGAGTTTGGGTGGGCATGCCATTCCACGTCAAGGCGCTAATCTCGCGAGAAAGAGAGACAGTAGTCATCCGTTGCCGCCAGTAGTGCCGTGTGTGTTTATTGTCTACGGTGCAGCATCGCTCAGGTTGGGGATGTCTGCCGGGGGG